GCACCTGCGGTCACTTGACCGCTTTTGCGGTTCCGCAGGTGCGAGAACAATTGCCGCTTCTGCGGTCCGGGGCTCCCCAGTCCATTCCGCTTCTGTGCCCTATCTTCCGCAGATGCGGTCCCGCATCTGCGATCCCAGCTCTCTTCCGCCAAATTCCGCATCTGCGACCATAGGGCCGCTTCTGCGACTCCGCACCTGCGGCCCTAGTCTCGCGGGTGCGGTTACACCAGCAACCAGCAACTTCAGCTCTTCTTCAAACTTCGAATTCGATCCGCTAACCACCCGGAATCCACCCGAGGCCCCCGGGACCCCAATCAATCATACCAACCAGTCCCAATACACATTACGGACTTGCTCGAGGCCTCAAATCATATCAAACAACGCTAAAACCACGAATCGACCTCCAATTAAAGCTTTATGAACTTTAGAATTTCAAACTTCTACTTTTGATGTTTAAACATATCAAATCACGTCCGATTGACTTCAAATTTTGCACACAAGTCATATTCGACATTACGGACCTACTCCAACTTTCAGGATCGGATTCCGACCCCGATATCAAAAAGTCCACCTCCGGTCAAACCTCTCAAAAACCTTCAAATTTCTATCCTTAGCCAAATGGCTCCAAAATGCTCCACGGACATCCGAATTCACTTCCGATCGCGCTCCCAACTCCAGAATCACCATACGGAGCTGCTCCCAGACTCGGAATCCCAAACGGATATCGATAACACTAAAATGCACTTCAACCCAAACTTATGAAATTTCTTCCAAAATGCTAACTTCCACAATAGGCGCCAAAATGCTCCAGGGTCACCCAAAACCTGATCCGGGCATATGCCCAAGTCCAAAATCATCATACGAACCTGCTGGAACCTTCAGATCCCGATTCTTAGGTCGTTTACTCTGAAATCCAATCCTAGTCAATTCTCTCAACTTAAAGCTTCCGAAATGAGAATTTCCTTTCCAAGTCAACTCCGAACGTCCCGAAATTTAATTCCGACCATGCGTACAAGTCATAATGCCTGAATTGAAGCTGCTCATGGCCTCGAACTGCTGAACGGCGTGCTAGGGCTCAGAACAACCGGTCGGGTCGCTACAGAAACAAATTTAGACATTAGGCTAACTTATAAGAGAATTCATATTATTCACACTAGTTAATCTTAAACTAACAGTGACAATCATAGGACTAGATGAGATCATAAAATCATATAAAATGATAGAATCATACTTGGAATTAAAACATGCTAGTCGAGCAAAGCATAGAGAATGAAATTACAAAGGATTAGGGCTTACCAGTTAAGCAAGGAAACAAGTGGATATGCTACATCAGTTAAGTTCCAAAATAACTTGGCCTTGGCTTTCAGCCGGCCAAAACCAAAGACAAATTAGCACAGAATCAGAATAAGAGAGCTTAAGTTTTCAGTGAGAGTATGAGAGTTCGAGTCTGTCCTAAAGGGAAGAGGGGAAAGGGTTTAAATAGTGTTCAATTAGGTAGACAAATAAGGGAATAAATCAAACATACACAAATAAGGAATGAAAATAATTCTGAAATCAATTTGATGTCGAGTTCAATTAATTAGCAGGACATAACAGCGTGTAATCAGGCAAGTACTACTTAGAATAGGGTAAGTATTGTACAGAATCAATCAACAGTCAAATGCCGGATCAACTAAGGTAAGGAAATAATGACAACAGGGTAAATCGAGCAAAAATAAGGAAACATCAGTACCATACAAGAAAGGAAAGATTAAAATCTCAGTAAAGGATTTTAAAACCCTACTTTTTGGGTAAACCATAAAATCAGCTGAGTAAATAAGGTAGACAAGAGAATATTCAAAAGGCAAACCATAAAATCAGCACAATATCACATAATGAACCTAGACAGGAATTTTAAAAGAAAACAGAATCAATTAAGATCTAAAAAATCCTAATTTTAAGGGTAAGTATAGTTAGTCAGAAATAATAAAAGGAAAATCAAAATAAAATGCGCATAGGCAGATATACGAAACATTAAAGAAAAGTGTTTCACAGAAGTAAGAAACATAACAGATCTTAAAAGATCTGAGCCCTAATTTTAGGGCAAATAATGCTAGTTAGAAATATCAACGAAAATCACGATAAAACGGACATAGATAGATATACGGGAATATTAAAAAAACATTTAACAAAATAGAGGACTATAACAGATCATGAAAAGATTTGAACCCTAGCTTTTAGGGTAAATGAAAAATCGAACCAAATCTCGGAGATTCATACCAAAAAGACGAAGAATGAACATAGATAGAAAAGAATGAAGGTTCGAACCAGATTTGGTTCGGAATAAGGAAAATCGGCTTGCCATGTTAGGCAAGAAATTATGTTATGCCATAAACGAGTAGCCAATAGCAAGAAAGGATCAATAAGGTAAGAATTCCCGGATTGATTCCATATCTGGATGGAATAGAAAGGGATTAGGGGTGACGGCGCTAGGGTTTCAGAGGAGAGAAGAGAAGATGAGAGAGAGAGTGTATAGAGACGGCATGCTGGGTGAAGTGATTAGGGTTTAGATGGGTTAGGTTAACTAAAAAAGGTTGGGGTGATGTGGACCGTTGATTTTGAAGATCAACGGTCCTGATTCAAAGGTTCTGGGTCGGGTTATAATAAACGGGCGTGGGATTGGTTAATTGGTTAAGGGTATTGGGTATTTGATGTTGGGCTGTGTATTGGGATGGAGATAATTGGGTAGTGTATAGGTCCGAAATTGGTTTTTTTAGGGGCTAGATTTTAAATACCCAATTTAACCAATAAATAATTTATAAAAATAATTAATAAATAACAAAAAAATCACTTGTGCATGAAAATGATTTAAAATAATTACCTAACATTATAAAAATATAATAAGTCATTTTTATGCAAATAACATAATTATGCATATATATGGGCTATTATTGCAAAATATGCAATTTTAGCCTAAGGATGCAAAATATATATATATATATATATATATATATATATATATATATATATATATATATATATATATATATATACACAAGCTATTTAAAGCTTAATAAGGATATAAATGATGAAAAATTAGATAATAAATGATTATAAAATTATTTGTGATGCAATTAATAATTATTTATATAAAAAATGCAAGAATAAATTGATTAGAAGCCCTTAAAAATTATAGAAAATTACGGAAAAATACTCGGTGATGCTCATGTACTATTTTGAAGAATTGGGTATCAACATATGTGAGGGAAAAATTGGGTATCAACATATGTCATCTGGTAGCATTCAATGAAGAGTATTCCATATCATTAAGTGTATAATCCGAGAATATGGCATTCACTGCCCGCTGTTACATATTCTTCAATGACCCTCATAATTGTCATTTTGGAGGGACTTGATTTTAGGACCTTGTTCCCTAGATGTAACTATAAATAGTGAGCTCTATTATCATTGCAAGGGGACGAATTTTCTAACAAGAATACATCATATTCTATCAAAAGTTCAAACATTTTACTTTCTTGCTTATTTATATTGTCCTTACTGTCTCTGGAAGCTTTGCGCCCGGGACTAAGATATGTGCCATTTTATTTCAATTTTAAGGCTAAGTCTTACATTTTTATCTAATTCATCTATTATTCTTGGATCAAATCGATTCACGTGTCTATAAACCACGTTTAAATTTAACTGTACCATTTTACAGGTAAGCAGTTTAGCGCCTACCGTGGGGCATAGACAATCTTGTAATTGAATTGATCCATGCATCTATTACTAACTTGTTTGATTCTTTGTTTTTAGCAAAAATCATTAAAATGACAGATAATGGTGTTAACAACACATACAATGTTGAGGCCTAAGGAAATCAGCCTCAGCACGAAGATTCCATCACCCACAACGAGGAGAATGAGGCCACGCCGGGCAATATCCTCGACACGTTCGAGAGGCACCCCTTGACGATGCTGAAGATGAGCACGTCGCGGAAACAGTAAGGATCCTGAGGGAACAACAAAGGGCCATTATGAGCCATCTCTCGCGGCAGGATCAGGTTATGGCGGAATTAAAACAGGCATTGTCGGGTGCTTCCAACAATGCGAATGGACAAGGTGTAGTTCCCCCCTGTGCTCCCGCAAATCAAATAACGGAGAGGATTAAAGTCGTCTTTGACAGGGCCGTGGGGAACGGTGGCGGACTCGGTGAAAACAATGATAATGATCCCTTTAAAATCGAACTTATGTGGTTTATGAGGAAAATAAATGCCTGAATAGATCAAAGTCCGGCCGCACCACCAGTGCTAAAAGGGCCGGACTCAAAGAAGTACACACAATTGCCGTTCAAATCAAGTGCGACACTAGAATTAATCCCGAATCGATTTAAAATACCGAACGTGCCGTAGTATGATGGGACTTCAGACCCTCAGGAGCATATCACCACCTATACAATAACGGTATAGGGGATAAATTTGTCTCCCCATAATATTGAGTAGGTCTTATTGATAAAATTCGGGGAGACCGTTATGAAGGGAGCCCAAACATGCTATTCACTCTTGCCCGAGCACTCCATAGACTCCTTCGAGATGCTAGCGGACTCTTTCATCATGGCCCATGCCAGGGCCAGAAAGGTACAGGCCCGAAAGGCTATCATATTCAGTACTGCACAAGTAGAGTCCGAGTTGCTGTGAGAGTTTGTGACCAGATTCCAGAAGGAAAGAATGTTGCTACCGGTCGTACCAGGTGAATGGGCAGTTGAAGCATTCACCAAAGGTCTGAATTCAAGAAGTTCCGACGCTTCCCAGAAGTTGAAATAAAGTTTGCTCGAGTTCCAGTCAATAATATGGGAAGATATTCATAACCGGTATGAAACAAAGATAAGAATCGAGGATGATCAGCTCAGTTTCCTAGTATCAACCAAAAGCTGAGACAGAGAGAAGAATAAAGAGAAGCCAAGAGATGACTTCGACTCGAATCGACGGTCTTCAAGGGGTCAATTTTTACCCTATGAACGGGCCGATGGTCGCGGCAGCAGTTTTCGGTCGGCGAATAGATTCGTCGCCGATAGGAGAATTGATTGCGGCCGGAATAACAGGTCATTGCAAGACAAGGATACATTGGGTTCTCGGGATTCCCCTTATTCCAGGCTTTCCGAGTTTAACTTTAATGTCAGCGTGGTGGAGCTAGTATCGGCAGTGAAAAATATCAAAGGACCAACGGTCACCAGACAAGGGACTGTCGGCATTTGCGTGAAGAGGTAGCAATATTGCTAAAGAATGGTCATCTCAGAGAATGTTTAAGTCACCGGGCTAAAAACAACTACGGTCGCAATCTTGATAATGTGGAACCTTCAAAATCAGGAGAAGATCCCCTACGCATGACGATCAACATGATTTTCGGGGGGAACGAGATTAACGGGGTTACATTCTCGATAGTAAAAAAGATGAAGGTGTCAATGACACACGGTAAGAGACTCCAAAAAGTCGTTGAAGACGACATTACTTTCACGGAGGAAGACGCAGATGGATTGTTGCTACCGCACAATGATGCATTGGTAATTTCCTTAAATGTCTTAGATTTTCAAATTAAACGTGTTCTGGTGGACCCAATAAGCTTAGCCAACATTATACAATGGAGGGTGTTGGAGCAAGCCAAGCTCACCAGAAGCATTATTTCGGCCACAAAGATCCTCGCCGGGTTCAACCTAGCAAGTGTGACAACCCGAGAGGAGATCTTGTTACCTACGAATGCTGAGGCAGTGATGAAGACGTCTCTTTTCGAGGTGGTGGAGCGCGGCATGGGCTATAATATTATCATGGGTATATCGTGGTTGCACTAGATGAAGGATGTGCCATCAATATATCACCAATTGCTAAAATTCCCAACTCCCGAAGGAATTAAACAAATAAGAGGCAATCAACCGGCAGCAAGAGAGATGGATGTAATATCAATTTCTAGTAGCAAAAGGAATGAGCATGCGTCATAGCAATTATAGGAACTGGTGCCTGCTTCCGAGCCGAGCAAAGTCAACCGGAGGGGGGGAGATTCATCGGAATCATATCAGGTACCAAGATATTTTCAATTACCAGAAGAAACAGGCGCAACAAAATCCACGGCGGAAGAGCTCGAACAAGTCGCATTGTTCAAAAAACTCTCAGAGAGGAAGTTCCACTTGGGGACATGACTACATCCCGAACTAAGGTATCCCGCTAAAAGTGGTTGTGCACAAACTAAGCCTGGACACCAACATTCCTCCGGTGAGACAGAAAAAATATCCTATTGCCGAGGTCAAGAATAAATTCGTCAAGGAAGAGGTAACTCGCTTTCTTGATATTGGTTCAATCCGAGAGGTAAAATATCCTAATTGGTTAGCTAACGTAGTAGTAGTTCCAAAGAATAATAATAAGTTTTGCAAGTGCGTAGACTATAAGGATTTAAATAAGGCGTGCCCAAAAGACTCGTTCCTATTGCCAAACATTGATCAAATGTTTGATGTGACACCCGGGCACGAGTTAACGAGTTTCCTCGATGCTTATTTCGGGTACAACCAAATTAAGATGAACCTGGAGGATCAGGAAAAAACTTCATTCACCACGAACTTCGGCACATACTGTTACAATATGATGCCCTTCGGGCTAAAAAATGCCAGAGCCGCTTATCAACGGCTCGTAAACAAAATGTTTGAGAAACAAATAGGGAAAACTATAGAAGTTTACATAGATGATATGCTTGTTAAGTCTTTGAATGCAGGTGATCATCTTAGACACTTGCAAGAAAATTTTGACATTTTAAGGAAGCATAACATGAAGCTTAACCCCGAGAAGTGTGCGTTCGGGGTCAACTCCGGTAAGTTCCTGGGATTCTTAGTGTCTCAAAGGAGGATCGAGGTTAACCCTGATAAAATCAAAGCCATCGAAGACATCCCGGACTAGCTATCAAGCATAAAGGAGGTTCAAAGGCTAACGGGGAGACTGGCCGCTTTGACCAGATTTATTTCCCGATCTTCGAAAAAATGCCATCATTTCTTTTCACTCACCGAAAAGAAGAATACCTTTGAATGGACACTAGAATGTCAGCAGGCTTTGAAGTATCTGAAAAGATATTTGTCAAGTCCTCCGTTATTGTCACAATCGGAGGAAGGCGAACAACTACTGATCTACTTAGCGGTCTCGAAAGTAGCGGTAAGTGCCGCTTTAGTCCACAAAGATGAAGGTACACAATCTCCTATTTATTATTTAAGTAATATTTTCACGGGAGCAGAAACTCGCTACCCACATCTGGAAAAATTAGCCTTAGCCCTCGTAGTCACTGCTCAAAACCTAAGGCCTTATTTCCAATGTCACTTGATAGCTATGGTGACCGCTTTTTTTCTGCGAAATATTCTTCATAAACCTGAACTCTCAGGTAGGCTGGCCAAGTGGATCATCAAAATGAGCGAATTTGACATAGAATAAAAACTTAGGACTGTAATTAAGTCACAAGTTTTTGCCGACTTTGTGGCCGATTTCAGTCTGGGACTATTGCCTCTGGCTACCAAAGAAGCAGTGATGGTATCAAAATCGACATCAGGAGTTTGGACCCTATTCACAGATGGAGCTTCCAACGTGAAGGGGTCCGGTATGGGCATAGTGCTAGCCACGCCTTCAGGAGAAACCCTAAGGCGGGCCATAAAAACTGTTCCTCTGAGTAACAATGAAGTAGAGTATGAAACTTTGATTGCAGGGCTCGAATTAGCCCGGGGACTGGATTCTGACGTCATATAAATCAAATGAGACTCCTAGTTGGTAGTAAATCATGTCTACGGGATCTTCGAAGTGAAAGAGGAATGCATGCAACAATACGTAATGAAGGTCCACGCTTTTCTTGCTCGGTTCCGGGAGTGGTCAATTACGCATATCCCAAGTGAATAGAATGCAGAAGCAGATGCACTAGCTAACCTTGTCTCGTCAATGGAAATGAAAGGATCGGACTCTGGTATGGTCATACAACTTATACATTCGGTACTAAACGCAGATAGCTATTACGAGGTAAACGCGACTAACTTAGTTTGGGACTAGAGAAATGAGATGATTGACTATCTCGAGCATGGGAAATATCCTGAAGATCCTAAGGCATCTCGGGCACTGCGCACTAAAGCAGCTCGATACAGCTTCAAGGGGGGTCAATTGTACAGAAGACCTTTCTAATGCCTATTGGCCCGATGATTGGGAGCCTCCGAAGCTAATTAATTTATGCGAGAAGTCCATAAAGGGATCTGTGTAAATCACTCAGGCGCAGATTCCTTAGTACTAAAATTAATTAGAGCAGGATACTATTGGCCTCGGATGGAACAAGACGCCAAAGCTTATGTTCAAAAATGTGATAAACGCCAACGCTATGCATCGTTGGTACATCAACCGGCAGAGCCATTGCACTCTATTTTTTTCATCATGGCCATTCATGAAATGGGGAATGGATATCGTCGGACTACTACCCCCGGCCCCCCGTAAGGTAAAATTTCTATTGACTTTAACTGACTATTTTTCTAAGTGGATAGAAGCAGGTTCTTATCAAAAGATCGGCGAACGTGAAGTGGTAGATTTATTGTTGGAGAACATAATTTGCAGATTTGGGATATCAAAAGAGATAGTCTGCGACAACGGGCCGCAATGTATAGTCGCAAAGGTCACAAAGTTCCTTGAAGACTTGAAAATAAAAAGGATCACATCATCACCCTATCATCCGAGCGCAAAGGGTTACAAAGTGATTATACAAAATCTCAAAAAGAGATTGGAAACGGCTAAAGGTAAATAGCCCAAAGAGCTGCCAGGTGTACTATGGGCGTACCGAACAATGGCCAAATCGAGCACGAGAGAGACTCATTTCTCTATTATGTACAGAGCAGATGCCCTGATCCTGGTAGAAGTAACGGATCCTACCCTGATATATTTCATGCTAAACGAATAAGCAAAAATGAAGCTATGTTAGTCAATTTGGAGTTGCTTCATGAACACAAGGACTTGGAGCATATAAGGATGGTAGCCCAAAAGCAAAGAATAGAGAGATATTACAATCGAAGGGCCAACCTCCGTTATTTCAAAGTTGGAGACTTGGTTTTAAGGAAAGTAACCCGGGAGCTCAATGCGGGGAAGCTAGGTCTAACATGGGAAGGCCACTACCAGATTTCAACTATCACCGGGAAAGGGTCATACGAGTTAGAAAATCAAGATGGATAAAAGTTGCCAAGCAACTGGAACGTGGCATACCTCAAGAGATATTGTTTCTAATAAACATCGCATGTACTGAAAGTATGTGCTTCACTCTTTTTCCCTTCATCCAGCTTTTGTCCCAATTGGATTTATCTGGCAAGGTTTTTAACAAGGCGGCAATGGAAAACATACTATAAAGGAAGCTTCAATAGTAGCAATAAGACCTTTGAATGACAAGGCACACAAGTAAAGAACCACTACGGAGCGGTTAGATAGTCTTTTGCTCGATAGCAAAGTTCCTACCAGGAAGTAAAGTTTGTTGTCGAACAGAGATTACCCGACCGTTGATAAGTGCAAGCCACTAAGGCATTGTTAGATAATCTTTGGCTCGATAGCATAAATTCATAAGGGGAAGTGAAGTTTGCTATCGAACTGAAGATTATCTAGCAATTCACTGGTGGAATACTCGAAAGTGCAAAACTTCCAGTGCTCAAATTCACATTCTTCGCATTCGAACACTGGGGGGAATGATATGAGGATATGGCAACAACGACTGCCACTTCGACCGGAATACAAAACCCCAAAACATAGTTGTATCATTGGGACCAGGGACTGCGCTGCCAGCCCTGTAGAAACAAGTTGTACAAGTTAGCCACAAGAAATGACAATTTCTATTTACCACAATGAATGCTTGTGTATTTTTAAAAATGGAAGAAATAAAGTAAAGTCCTTTGATTTCTATCTTGTTTCTTGTCTGAATGATGAATTGATTTTATCATTTGAAAGTTAAACAAGTACTTCAAATACTAGTGCCATAATGAACAGAAGATTTCCTCTTCAAGAGTACCGTAAACAAAAGAGGCCCTCTCTTATGAAAACCCTCACATTTAAGGGTTGATTTCGGAAGAACTTATGCTCGAAATCCAAATGCTTTTGGGGGAAATACACACCCGAAGCCTTGCATAATTAGACGCAAATAGTAAAACGGGCGCAAACATTTAAACAAAAAGAGACGCAAAGAGCAAACCTGCGCAAATATTTAAATGAAAAAAGATGCAAAGAGCAAACCTGCGCACATACTTAAACAAAATGACACAAAGAGAAAAACTTATAAAATGTCTCTATTTACAATAAATGTGCCAAACAACACAAGTATAAAAGTGTGAAAAAGAAAGCAAAAATTAAGTTGGTGCATCTTTGGAACCCGGAGGAAGAGAAGCATCTCGCCCCCAGGAAAAATGGGAAGACCTGTCGTCGGTTTAGTATCATGGCCCTTATCATTTGGTCCTTCAGCTTCATCACCTTCTGGTTCTTCTACAATTCCTGTGAACTCAGAACCGGAACCAAAAGAATCGGCAGCATTAGGCCGGGCAGGAAGACACCTTTTTGCAGCTAACTCCAGCCACATGCCTTAGCGATTTTGGCATCAAAGTTAATGACACCCTCTTTGGCCTCTTCCAAGGTTTTTCTCTTCATGTTGTACATAGCATATGTTTTCTAAATAATGAGGGAAGCCGCTCGGCGCTGAAGTTCCTCTTTAAGTCGGTCAACCTCAGAAGAAAGGCTATGCCCCGCAGATCTAACGTGCAGAGCCTCACATAAGGGTCACGGACAGTAGAGCTGAAAATTCTATTATGCTCAATGGTCCTCT